CTTAGCTACAAATGAGGTTGGGATAAGCCACTGAGGTCAACACACACACACACCACACACACACACACACACACTACACACACACACACACACACACACACACACACACACCACACACACACACACACACACACACACACCACACACACACCACACACACACAACACACATCACACACACACACACACACACACACACACACACACACACACACACACACACACACACACACACACACACACTCACACACCACACACACACACACACACACACACACAACACACACACACACACACACACACACACACACACACACACACACACACACACAACACATCACACCACACACACACACACACACACACACCACACACACCACACACACACACACCACACACAACCACACACCACACACACACACACACCACACACACACACACACACACACACACACACCACACACAACACACACCACACACACACACACACAACACACACACACACACACACACACACACACACACACACACACACACACACACACACACACACCACACACACAGAGAGCCTGGGAAAATCAGCCCAGTACCAAATAAGTAACTGCAGTGGGAGCCTGTCTGCTGGAGCCAGAGCTGCTTAGTGCTCACTGGGGATGAGGCTGTTTGACAGAGAGCTGGACAATTGAGAAAAATGTAGAGGGGCGGACGTAAAATAGAAAGAAGTGAGGTGTGTTGGAAACAAGATAATCATCGAGTCCATCGAGACAGAGATCTAGTTCTGGGAGCTCTTTAGCTGAGTTTTGTCAATGAATCAAATAAGTTAAATAGAAATGAATTAATGGACGAGAACCTGTAACGATACAGATACAAGACGAGCCCTGTCTCACCCCAACTAAAAGACAAAGATAGAAGAACAAGAATACGACATGATAATTGTTCATTAGAGGATACTATCACACTTGCTTTGAGCTGCACTGACCTGCCAGAAGTCTAAACCTCAACAAGATAGAACTCCCCTCAGAGTGAGAGATAGTGAGAGAGGGATAGAGAGAGAGTGGGAGAGTGGGAGGATTACAACCAGTAGCACCAACTAAAAAAAAGTGGCTGTGATTACACTTGCAAAAAAGAGGGAAAAGGTTCTAGTGAACAACACTGGAGACTGACAGAGAGGAAGAAAGGCAGAGGGACATCTGCATGGAAGAAGAGAAGCAGAGGTCCTGACAGAGTGCACTGGACAGCAAGATGAGCAGAAGGATGACCAAAGACTGAGACCAATGTAAGGAAACTAACCAAGGAATGACAGCATTTCATTTTGAGCAAGAAGTATTGGGAACCTCTACAACCTTCACTCTACTGTCCTTTGCGTGACCCTGGACCCTTCAGATCCTCTGAGAGTACAACGAACCAGCCACACAGCGAGCAGTGGCACGTGTGATGTCTGCTGTAGATCTACAGTCCCTCTCTGACGGGACTCCAGTGGGACTTGCTTGCGCAACATTATTTTAGTACGACTTTGATTGAGATTTTTTTAAGTTTGGTAAGCAGCACTTCAACCTGTCATGTTCTGTCGTAATGACTCAGATGGGATTTCCAAAGAAGACATTTTCAGTTACATCTGATTTATATGTCTTGCGCAGCCACATCACATTTTCCCAGATGTTTTAATGCGCTTTGACTATACAGCCATTGTGTTTGGCTTTAATCCAAACTGCACTCCTGGGACAACTCACGGAATACTTTTGTTTAGCTTCAGTGTAGTTAGAAATGAACACAAGTTTGTTAGCATCTGTGTGTTCCGAGATGGATTAGGTTTCTGCAGATTGTGATCAGTTTTGTTGGGAGAGCTCTGCGCATCAGTCATGAGGAACACTGTTGATATTCTTTCACACTATATTTAGTTTACTGGAGGTTTGTCACGAGGAAGGCGCTCCTACTGAAACGCACATCCATGCTTGGAATTGGTGTTGTCAGAGAGGAACCACAACTTCCTTTCTTTGTAGGAATGGAATTCACGGCATTGGAGGAGATAAATATTGAGATTTACTGAAACGTATCTAAGACATTGTTACAGCTCCTTCTTAGCGGCATAACTGCAGGTACATTCAGTTCTAATGAGGCATTGGTACAGTGGGACAGCTGGATGTGCACTGCCTGACCTGGATAGACGGGACATTTACACATCCTTTGCTTCTGGAGTCTACACATCTCCTCAGAGGGAGGGTCACATCACTTCCACTGAACGTTCGACTGATAAGATATTACTGGAGCTGCGATCTCAAGAATAATCTCAGAATCTTCAGGTTCAAGAGGAACTCAAAGAGGCCATTACTACCAGACCGTGAGGCTCCTGAGAGACCAGAAGAAGAACCATGCTGAGGGGCCTGTTTCAGAGGAAACCCAAACATGAGAGGCTGGAGGAGGAACCTGAGGTCAGATTTAAAGGCTCCATGGTGACAGAGACAGATCTGGGATATACATACGTCCGACCTGGAGGTAAGACTGTCCACACACCCCAGAGACATGTTTAGTGCTAATGTTAGCCTCATCAGTGTCACATGTAATTGGTGTAATAACAATAAAATTAGGTCTTTAACTAACGATGATGTACATGATCCAGCAATCTTCTGATTAGTTAACTGATACATATTTTTCTAGAAATTGTCAGAAAAATGATCTAAGTGCAAATCACACTTTTTCAAAGGCCTTAGTATTTAAATGACTTTTATAATTGATTTATTAATTTTATCAAAATACTGAAATGGCACTCAATAACACAATCGAAGAAGCGTTAATATTTGTGAAAGTAGTCAAAATACCTACATATTTAAAAATACTGATTACTACATTTTGATTAAATACTACTAAAGTTGCCTTGCCATTAATTATTAGATTATTTGAAAAAGAGTTCAGCTCTTCACTTAATAAACAGAATTGAACACCTTAGGGCTCTAGAAAATTAAACCATCCTTAGCATTGATTTGGTTCCTAACTGCTGTGCAGTATATTACAAAGTCTGGATGAATGTGTCATGGGAAGTATGGCATGAAAATACCAATATGACTATATGCCCTGCACATAAACTATGAGTCAAACTGTGAATAGTGTAACCTCAACTTTTAGGAGCATGTTGAAAACTAGGGCGTCAACACCCTGTTCAGATAATGGGGCCACAAAACTATTCTTGTGAATGTAGGTGTCTCTATAAAGGAATGTAAAACGCCTGTGTGCCTGTGTACTAGGATATTGGCCAGAGGAAACAGAACTGGCTCAGACTAAAGTTCTCTTCTCTAAATCTTGCCCTGTTCTGTGGTATATCTCCGCAGTTTATTTTAAGCATGGAGTGCCACTTTGTGCCAACTGCCATTCCAGGAAGTAACGGCAGCACTGAGAGCTACATGTTTGTCTAATGATAAGATTCCACGACCCCTCGCTCACAGAGGTCACGACACAGCGGGACTGGCAGCATATCCAAAAGCCTGGGGCCTAAATAGATCCGTTGTTAGCAAGGGAAACTTATCTTAACCATGATGTGTTCCTGTTGGTACAGAAAATAATCCTTTACCGCACACATATACCATCATCTCGTTAACCCTCATGTCTCTCAGGGCACCTAAGGTGATGTTATGCTAGCTGACTCAATTTGATCCTGTATCAGCATAGTTGAGAAATGATTTAGGATCCAACAATCTTAGTAAATCACAGCATTTATGGTGATACAAATCTGTCACAAGGTAACCATACGGAATCTATCCTTATTTGGGTGCTTTATTATCCATCTCAAATCAGTGTAATTGGCTGGAGCCAATGACCTTTAGGTTGGCTACGTACTCATCCCTGCCCATTAGGTTGGCTACGTACTCATCCCTGCCCATTAGGTTGGTTACGTACTCATCCCTGCCCATTAGGTTGGCTACGTACTCATCCCTGCCCATTAGGTTGGTTACGTACTCATCCCTGCCCATTAGGTTGGTTACGTACTCATCCCTGCCCATTAGGTTGGCTACGTACTCATCCCTGCCCATTAGGTTGGCTACGTACTCATCCCTGCCCATTTTTTCATTTTATCAAGAGAAAATAGTCCACAAGAGCTGTGCTTACTGGTTTAAGAATTGTCAGTTAGCTATTCTTTTGCAGTTTATTCCCCATTACTAATGCATTGACTACATCTAGAGGCCAGTTTTATCACGGCCTTCATTGTGTCCTTAGTGCATTTAACATGGATCTAAAAAGGTATAAAGAGGTCAACGAGAGAATTTTATGTCATTCACATTAATTCACTGAGCCTTCTGGATTCTTGATAATGGCTGTGTTGTATTTGTGTGTGTAGGACTAATTCAGTTAGGGGATCAAAGCAGGCATAAGGAATCTACTGGTATCTAAACACAGCATTCCACCTGCCTCTTACTGAGCCTGACAGAGAGTGTGAGAGCACGGCAGGGGGGGGGGTTAGGGTTTGTCTGTGGGTCTGTGTGTGTCAGCGATTCCTGAGTGAGTGTGTGTTTATATTATCAAGGACTGTTGTGCTGTATCTAATCTCTGCTGGCTGGTTTTATAGTGCTGTCAGGTCCCTGTGTGTGTGTGTGTGTGTGTGTGTGTGCCAGATGTAGGTCTGAGAGGGAGACTGGCTGATAGATTTGGAGTCACCACAATACCTCTGCTCCTTATAAGGAACTAACTGTGTCCACTCACATGAACAGCATGCTACACACACACTTTGGTGTGTTTATCCGAAATGATAATCTTATATAACTTCCTCCCTGTACATAAGAAGCTGATGTGATCACAATGCCATCAGGACTTTAAAGATACATAGATATGTTTTTATAAATTGTAATGTTGTTCCTAGTTATTCTCTTTTTTGTTTATGTATTTTTTGGTTAGGCTGTCTCTCTGTCTAGCGTTTGTTTACCCAAATTCCCCATGTGTCATTTTCTCCATCTTTCAATAGGTACTCTCACTGTGTCTAGTTCTTCAAATGATTTAGTCTATGTGGCTAGTTTTGGTATTAAGTCATTTATGTCTGCACGGTCTGAGACTGTCTGTCCAACACTAATGTAACTGACCTGTGTATAACAACACTTTTAGTTTTTTATATTAAGGATACAGTGAGCTTCACAGAAAGTGGCTGGACAAGAAAAAAACGGTCAGCTATGACACACACTAATAAGTATGATTCACTGCAAAGATATCACACTTAAAGGTGGGGTAGGTAATTTTGGAGAAACCAGCTCGAGTGCGCTAGAATTTGAATCCTTCAACACACACGAACGCGCACATGACCAATGAGGGCACGAGATAAGTTTGTGCACAGATGGAAGGCTGACAGGCAGGTAGGCCATCCAGTTATTTTTTATGGATTTATTGTCAAAGCACTTAAGATATTCATTGCTATCGGGATGTTGAGAGCATTCCATGGAATATAACAAAAAGTGTTTCTGAAATAAATTACATACCCCACCTTTAAGGGAAATGGGTTTAATAATACACAAACAGTGTTTGTGCAGAGATGTGCTCAACAGCTGTTAGTTACAAACTGTGTCAGACAAACAACATGTATCAAGGCAGATATCAGAATTGTGTATCTGGGGCACTTATTTCTTACATCGTGCATTGCGGTAAAGCAGGAAGGGGTGCTGCAGCTGGAAGTCCAGGTCTTTGGTGATTGGCTCTGTCAAGTTCTCCATACTGAGTCTGTTCATAATGGTGAAACCATGCCTGGGAGACGCCAGTCTGAAATACAAAGATACTGATGAAAATATCATGCACAACTTGAAATAAGAGATACTTAAGTTAGGCCATAGTCTGCCGTATTCACATATTACACATAATCAGTTCTGTTAAAAAATGTAATATGAAAAAAGTTTAAATAAAACCCTCTTATCCTCATGTTTACAATAAGGTAGGATGACGTTTCAACATGTCTTTTAAAGAGCTTAAGAAAATTCCCAACCAATATGTACTAAGAAGTGCACATAAGTAATATTTGGAATAGAACATCTCTATTAACCAGGATTTCAGAGTCAAGCATCAATATCAATACCTTGTGTAGATAAATAGGGTGCCTTCAACCTCGGTCTTCTCCTAAAAAACACAGAAGCAAAAACAATTGTTCAGTCACTGAGGGACAACATGTTACATTTTCAAATAAGCAAAAGACCAAGCAGCTGAATGACAGTTTCCTGAGGCACACATTGTGATAACAACTCCTTTAAAATACGTGATTGTTGCTCTGGAGGAAACAGTTATATAATTACATATAATCTAGTGCTACATTATTCCAGGGGAATCAAATAAAACATATCACATTTTTATGCATTTGTTGAAATCCCTCAACTTAATGCTATAACTTTAGTTGGGGTAAATCACTTTCAGTGACAAAGCGCGCCTATCAGGGACGATGTCGAAGCTAAGCTAAGTTAGCATATTAACCAAAGTTACGGCTTACCCACTCATTTGCCCTGTTGTTATAAGTATACAGGGCAACTTGGCTGGCCACGTCCACAATGTCATTGATGTACGGGTCTTGCCGCTGCAGAGCTGCCAGACTGATGTCCAGTCCTTTAGCGGTGAGGCAGCTACTGCTCCCGGCTGAAGTAGCTGTCATTGTTCCCAATGTAGAAGTTAGCTCGATACCTAGCTTCAGCGGCTAACGAGTCACAGGAAGATCCGATAAAAACCGAACCAACAGCTAAGCAAAAGAGAAATTAAATTGGTAACTGAGCGGTAGATTGTTCTGCAACTTAAGACCTGTACATTACAAAAGAACAGTTATCGAGGGCTAACTGCCATGAGTGAGTTTCTCAACGGCCATGTTTTGCCAGAGAGATTGTAAACAACCAGACATGGGTAGCCGCGCAACAGGGAGATTTCAGCCTTACCAATCAACTTGGAAAAATCGATGGTGAATTACTGCCGCGCCAACTGTAGGGATTTCTACTTTCTTCAACTAATTAATGATAATATCAGAAGAAACATGTCCATGTACCAAAAGTTAAGGTATGTAACTCAAAAATAATTTAACGGGTGTTTGGGCTGTCCTCCGTATTAGTGCTTAATTGAATATGCTTTGGGACATGTAAGAAGACACAAACAATGTAGCTGGGTCCCTTATAATGTAGGGACAGAAAGCTATCCTGTTTGATTCTTTTTTAAACTTTATTTTTCTCTCACTTCTCGCCATGCACGTAAGCAACTGATGTTTCCCTTTTGTCTTTCTTTTTTGTTGTTGTAAATATGCACATATCTGATTGTAACACAAACAGTGATGCTGACTGATGTCTCCCAGTCCTCACTCAGTTACACTTCCTATGTAATGCACTAGGGGGCATCAAAGGGATGGATAACACACACTTCCCTGCTCTGTTTATCTGCTCTGCATTGGTCAGAAATAAACTGAAAGCCCTTGTGTGTGAAATGTGTGCGTGAATCCCCCAAGAGTGTTGTCTCATGGGGAAAGCCAATGAAAGAGCAATAACAGCATGTTACAAAAGTTATAAATAGAAACAAATACAGAACATTTGTATGTGTACTGAGTTACTGCAGTTGTTTTTTTCTAGTGATTGATTGATAAAGGAATGGACATGTTATAGGCCCAGTTAATACCCAAGGACATGCATGTAACTGATACAAGAACAGGACTTTCAGGACTGCACATTCTTGAAATCAATATCTGTTGGATCACCTGACACTAAATCTCCTTATTCAGTTCAACATATTCTAATTTGTTGCAAGGGTTCATGAGGGGACATAACCCTCTTCAAATGGACATTCAAAAACCCATTAACTTTGTTTTAATTTGAGAGCAAATGACTTCTTGTATACTCTCTCAGTCATTTAAACTTACCACTCATGATTATGACATTAATGGATTTCTTATTTTATCGCAAAGTACCACTATTTAGCATTATATTAAAGATGCACTCTTTCTTCCCTCATCTGTATGGTTATAGCTGTTTTAGTGATTGGATTTATACCGCCATAAAGATGTACAGCAGCTGGTGTGTATCTATCAACAAACACAACAGAGTGTCCTTGAGAAAAAACAATGACCACCCAACTGCTCAGTCAGTTTAAGCAGAACTCCATAAAAAAGCAAACATCTACTTTAAACACTTTAAACAACTTTTATTAGATGCGAGCAAAGCACTTGCAGGTCAGACTGTGGAACATCTGCCTCCAAATTAACATAAAAGTAGCTTTTTTCAGTATGAGCTTTCTTTACTTTAGCAAGCTTTGTCAGGAAAGAAGTGTACAGCACTCTATTGTGTTTCAAGGTGTGTATATATATATGCGTCATGGTAGTATCCATTTTTTTGTCAGGGGTGATTGTTTCAATGATTAGGCTAATGAGTTATACATCATCAGGTCAATACTGTCAATAACCACTCAGTCCCGATCGGGCGTTGATTGGTGAGGATACATGCTTATTCTGTGTGTGCAGGGATATACCTCATAGGTTTACAGAATATATTTAAATTTCAAGCTATTGTGCAAAACTATTTAATATATATAGCTACCTATGTTTATATGTTCAGTGGATTGGTATATTAGAGAGTATTCTAATTGTATTCGGTTTCTTTTTAATGTTAAGATACACCTCTGAATATAGGTATTCTTTACTGAAAATAAGTATATATTGTTATCTATCTATCTATCTAACTATCTATCTATCTCTATCTACTGTACCTATCTATCTATCTCTATCTACCTCATAGGGCTGATCTTTAAACCATTGCTTCCTTATGTCCAGTGAGCAGACAAAATATATTCTTTCTAGATAAAAAAAAAAGTATGAATCTAATTTGGTAGATTTTCTTAACTTGATGTTGTGCAAAACCAAATGACATAATTGAAAATGCAGGTAGATACAGAACACATCTCTTTCTGTGATGAGGGGATTTCCCTTTGACTGACCAGCAGATTGTTGGTTTCCCACATGAGAGACCAGCATCTGATCGTGTTTGTCTGTCCACAGATTCCCAGAGACCAACTGAGCTTATAGGCCTCACACACGCTCACATACATACAAAGGGGGTCGGGAACTCCGAATATAGAACAGTCACAAATAGAGTAGATATTCCATGTGCAGGCTGGATTACAGTGGATATTAGTGTATGTGAGTCTGTGTGTTTGTGTGTCCCCTGGGCACAAGTGTCTGTTCCCACGACCTGCCCTCCATCCGTTCTTCCTCCTCTCAATCCTTCCTCCCATTCATTGGCCAGTGTAATCAAACAGAGGCTCGTTGGCAGGAAAGTGAAAGGGAGTCTGACCGCCATTATGAAACTGAGAGCACATCTGTCTCACTGTCATCTCAGGGCTGATCAGTCAGACATCTGCAGCGCTGGAAAGTAAAACAATTTAAAGTACTAAACTTGAGTACATGTTTTTGCTTGCTTATACTGCTACTCTCCTTCATTTCTGGTGGAAGAACTGTACTCTTTAATCCACTTGATATATCTGTTATAGCCTATAGATACTAGCTTTCAGTGGTTTCCAATCTTTTGGACAAAAAATGCTCCTTATGCATCAATGCACCTATTCAAAATCCAATCATTTATTATATTGTGTTTTAAGTTAGTCACATCGTTACTTTTTTTTCTGCAGCAGTAGTACTTACTCTCTGCTATTTTTCTTACAAAGGAAACATTTTTTATGTACAATACTGAACATTAACAACCCTTAGTTTGACTCCAAATGTACAATATATTAACAATACATCTGCATCCCAAATGTATGGTTCAGAAATAGACAATTCATCTGTCAAATGACATCAATAGAATCATTTATCAGCTATCTCCCTGTCTTTACTATGTCTACAGTGACACATGTAGACACAAAGCTTTATTCTATTAGAGGATGGTGGGTGGTGATTTGGTGCTATTGCAGTGCACAAATGAATACTGGCTGGGTTGAGTCATCAGATTCACCTCCTGATTATAGCCTGCAGTCAGATTGACATGAGGCCTGTGCATTGTGAAGTTAGTATTCAGTGTCAAATACAATTACACGGCATTGCCAGTACCATAATTAGAATATTCTGCACAGCTTCAATGCTTCCTGATGTATTATTGAGCCCAATCTTTTTTGTCTTGTGGAGCATTGCGGTAGCTTTTTAACAATCTAAAAATCCTCAGTTTCTGCACCATATTGGGACAGAATAGGTGTTTTGTGAGTCTTGGCCATGGAAGACACTAACTGACTTTTGAAATAAGCCCAACATTTTTCTAAAGACTTAATAGAAAGATGATTTGTATCTGTTTTTTTTAATCTTTTACATCAAGCTGCCTGTGGAGAGCTTTTAAGAAAACAGCTCAATTTAATAATTAAAACTTGCATTTTGCAGTTTTATCCAAAAGTCTGAGTAGGAGGTATAGAGTCCAGCACGCTCAATGTCATCAAAGCCTGGTCCGGAGCTATTTATTTAAGAGCTGATGTTGTTGACTGTTTGATATTTGACTCCCGAATGAGCTTTATTTCATTGTTGTGTTCTCTACGAAAATGGAACCATGTCCCCAGAAAAGGACTTTGTGTGCTTGAAGGGCCGAGACAAATATGTGTCTGGCCATGGAGAATGATGCTGAAACAAACCCAACTGTCCTGAGGGCAAACACACATAATTTAATTCTGAAAACAATTGTATCATCCTCTAGATAAAAACAGTCACATTCAGCTTTTATTTTGGGCTGACCTTCTTGAAGTTCAGGAGATTTGAGTCTGTATTTACACAGCATCCAAAGACCTCCAAATCAGCTTACTTGTGGCTTGTCTGTGTTTAAGAGAGCCATGAAATAAATCATAGTTTGAGTCATAAAAGAGTAGAAAAACCAGATATTTAGCGTGTGTGTAAACACAGCCTAGGCCAAAGAAAAGAGCGGGCTGAAGCAGTCCAGATGTGAGGGGACTCTGGGCAAATCACATGGAGGTACACCATCTCCCATCTCTGCTTCTTCCTGCAGACTATGCAAGGCTTAGGCCTGCTATGGATCATTACCCACCCAACCACCCCCCCCTCCCCTGTCTTACACACCAATGTGCACACACACACACACACACACACACACACACACACACACACACACACACACACACACACACACACACACACACACACACACACACACACACACACACACACACACACACAGGCACACTTACTCTTTATGTCCCTTGCTGTCTATCTTCTTGTCTTATCTTCTATCGTGTGTTTGGGCCACCTTTCTTTTCTTTTTATGATGATTAATTAACCCTCGTTTTAAGGCCGCCCCCCTATTCCCCCCTCTCTTACATTCACACACACACACACACACACACACACACACACACACACACACACACACACACACACACACACACACACACACACACACACACACACACACACACACACACACATATGCACATGCAGGCACACTTTCTCTAACTTTACTTTTGCTGTCTTTCTTCTGTATCGGTGACCTTTCTTTTATTTTTATGTGTTTCCTTTGACCCTCCTTTTAAGATGGTCCCCCTTCTCTACACACATACACACGCGCACACACACACACACACACACACACTCCACCATCAACATGATCATCATCATCATCATCTTTGTCTTCATCATCACCATCATCATCTGGATACCAGCCGCCGGTTCTCCACTGTTGCTTATACCACACACACACACACACACACACACACACACACACACACACACACACACACACACACACACACACACACACACACACACACACACACACACACACACACACACACACACACACACACACACACATCTGGAAACAGTCAGAGCGTCTACATGCACGGGGAGGGGGCTCCTCTCTCTCTCTCTCTCTCTCTCTCTCTCTCTCTCTCTCTCTCTCTCTCTCTCTCTCTCTCTCGGTATCACTGCAAAGCTGCAGGGGCAGCAGAGGCAGAGAAGAGAGAGCTCTAACTCCCGATCAGTGAGACACAGGCAGACAGACAGGCAGGCAGCAGGAGAGCAGACAGACAGGCTCACACACTGACTGACAGAACCACCGCCGGACCATCATGGACTGGATCAAGACAGAGAGACCCGTCTCCGGATGAGACAGGACGGCCTGGCTCCTGTGTTTTTGGGGGGACTCTGCCATAGATACGTGGAATAACCGACAACCTATTGGGAGATTTAACCCCGTGCTACCCGTGATGGAATATTTACACTCTTCTCATTTTCTCATGTTTCTCCTCTCCTCTTCCTCCTCCTTCTCTTCCTCCACCTCCTCGTCTTCATCCTCGCACATTTTGACACGCTGCTGAAGATGCGCACGAATGCGTCTTTTGCGCACTTCCATCGCAACCGCCACTGACAGCGCCCGTGCTTTATAACCTTTTGAAAGCTTCTTTTTTTTAAGACAACAGAGGAGAGTGAGAGCGAGGTGAGAATTGAATTGAACGCGGTGCTGGTCTCATGTTTCTCGCCTAGGGCCCGGATGTACCGAGAGATGCACCGGTGCGTTTTCCCGACCGGTTCCGCCGAAAGCTCCCTCTTTTTTCTCGCCTTCACCTCCATCATGGGGATTAGGTAATATTCACTCCATCCGAAGACACCCTCCCCATAAACAGAAATAACGGAATACCCAAGACTGTCCGTGTCAGACAGTTATTTCTTCTTTTGCCCCCCTTTTTTAATTTCTTTATTTTTGGGGGCTTTTTTTCCTCGTTATTTCCCCTCCGCCTCTCCAGCTTTTCCCCCTCTCTCTTCCACTCACCTATAGGGATAACGCCGGACTACATTTATGGTAAATGAAAGCAAAAACATGTACATCCCGGAGGACACCCTTGAGAACCATCAAGGTATGTGGTGTGTCTTTTTTTATTTATAACTGGCAAACATCTTGTAACTGTGCATGAGAGAGGGAAGGGGAGAACGAGAGGTATGATGATCTCGAAATGGGGATGGGATGGGGAGAGAGGAGGAGGTGGTGGAGAGAAGGTGGGAGGGAGGGAGAAAAGGAAAGGAGTGTTTGCTCTCTCCTTGTTTTCAACAGATGGACATATATATTTCCTCCACTTCCCCTCTGTTTGTTTATCTCCTCTTTCCTCGCTTTGCGCAACTTGTGCCATCACACAACAGGGCTGCAGGTATACACATGGATGAGGCCTTTTCCTGGCTTGGTTTTGGTCCACTTGTTGTTCGTGGCAGGCCTCTCAATAGGAGATCTGAGGCATAATGGGTGGGCAGTGGTCATGTATAGCCAACAGGCAGTTGTGGGCGGGGAGCATTATTGTTTTAGACACATTTCCAGCACAAAATGACAGCTAAAGCGTGTCCTCGCAAATCTGTTGGCAGAGCGTCTCCAAGGCTTTTGGGAATACACTAAACTGCTCTCTGCAGTTTTGTTGGCCAAATGTCAGAAATGATCACACGGTGGTCGCTAAGGAGCAGCAAATTGAGCAGCAACCACCGAAACGCGCACTCGATCACCATCGATCCTGCCTTCTCCTATAATCAATAATCGTATTTGTCACGTTTTAATCAAAGTTTTTGTGTCTCCTTAACAGCAGCGTGTGAAATAAATCGCAATAGGAAGACAGGTGGCAGTAGGGGGGCCTGCAGGACTTATGTCTGCTGAGAATTGGGTTGATGGTGGGCTATTTTGGGGGGAAGGCAGCGGAGGACAGTCAGTGAGGGTGTTCAACCGACACGACCGAAGTGGCGACTTTTTTAGTGTTTAAAAAAAAAAGCAACACATGCGAATCAACATCCAGGACTGTGGTGTGTTTGGCGGGGAGGAAAGGGTCTGTTTGCATTGCGCAGTATTACGCGTCGCTCCTTCCACCCACGTTGCAGAGAGCGGAGCAACGCACTGCTTTATGACTGCCCGGAGCTTGTCATTCGGCAGAGGGCTTATTTATCCGATCAACATTATCTTCCTCATGGCCGTCATCATCGTCGTCGTCGCCTTCGTCCTCCACTTCCAGAACAACCACATACCTCTGCCTTGGCGACAGGTTCCATAGCAACAGGGGATTAGGAGAGGGGTGGATATATGTGTGTGAGTGTGTGTGTTTGTGTGTGTGTGTGTGTGTGTGTGTGTGTCTGTCTGTGTCGCAGCGAAGCACATACACCAACAGTTTGTTTCGAGGAGCAACTAATCATAGGTTACCTGCTGCAGCTGCCATGATGTTCACACAGGTTAAAGATAGGCATCTTAAACATAAGCATGAAGGGCAGGTGTAAGACAGATCACAGTTATCCTCATTGCCATGATGACATCTTAATTCATTATTGTCATCATCAAAAATACCCTTTTAGTCCAAGTTTCCAAATAGAAGTAAGGGATAACATTAGTCTTATTAAGTAGACCAACTTAAGGAATCAAGACGATCTTTAATTCTGATATCCAAACCACTTGCAACACAGCAAGAAACAAGTTCGGTTTTCTATTTTAAATATTTGATAACTTTACTAATGACTCTTCAATTCAACATGAAACAAAACACCCAATCAGCAGGATTATTTAAGCCTTCAAGCTGACAGCAGAATGTCTTTGTTTAACCTTGTAATGTAAGTATTGTTAAGGCCCAGGTTTAGGAAAATGTGTAGCAAATGAAGCTCAGGCTGAAATCTACTTGGGTGGTTTCAGCACCAAGGACAGTTCATTCTTCATGTGTCTATTGACAGCTACATGACAGCTATTGAGGAGTTCCAAAGACAGACATTGGCACTGATGTATTACTCTTGTCTCGGTCTAATAAAGGTTTCCATATGCTTCAGCTCAGGTATTTAGTGTATGACAAAGCCTACATTACCAGCATCCAGTTGCATAAGTCATAGCAGACAATTATTGTTTAAATCTTCCTATATTATTATTTGTATGGATGAATAATGATGGCACACTGCAGTATTGGAGAGACCATGTTTTGACCTAATGTGACATTTGCACTCCAACCCTGAAGCCCTTAGACGTTGTTCTGTAACAGGCCCTAACTTATTTGTGGATGGACAAAATATAAAATATATATTCTCCTTGAGGGATTAAGGAACAGAAACGCCTGATTGCACCGAAAAAAGAGTTATCTTGCATCCTGTATAATGTCACAGGTCCTGATACCTCACACCAGCTGTATTCCCTCTCCGTTATCAGCCAGTCTCCATCTTTACATGCACTCCGTAATTCAAACAGATTTGATGTTACACATGATTGCACTCAATGCTCATGTTCTCTAAATGAACCAATTATTCTGTATCTGCATACATCTGACTTCTTACGAATGAATAGTTGTGCCTGTGTCTTTTAAAATGCTTACCCATGAGCATAAACACCACCCTAATCACACACATGTCATTCTGGTGTAGCTTTGAAACAAAGGCCCACCTGTGGCTTCTCATGTCATTGTATGTAGAGCAGGGAATTTATTTGAAACACACACACATTACAACATCAGTTTACAGCAGTGTAATCAGTGGCTTGATTTTCCCTTTGGGCATTGTGCCAGAAACATGATACCTCCGTCAGGGATATTAATTGGTTTCCGATGGTTACCCCGGGGTGCTGGCCACCTGCCAAATCACCTCACGCTAATGACTCCACTTGATGCTCAAATATTCCATTGAAGTCACCTCAAAAGACTTGTAGGAACAACCACTGATGTGTTCACTTTATATGGAGCTTCTCACACAGAGCTAATGTAATGTGCCTGCTTATGTGGCTGCAGAAGCTATTCAGCAACATGCAGTATAGAAAAAAAACATCCATTGTTTAGCTGGACTTAAGCTAGGTAAAATCATTGAAAAAGTTGTTTTTCAACAGTTGAGTAATTTCTTGCATTTAAATAGTTGTTTCGATGTGTTCTAGTCAGGCTTTCGTCCAAACCACAGCTACTGAGACTGCTCTTGTAAAGGTCTTTAATGACATCCACTTAAACACAGACAGTGGCAGAACTTCAGTGTTAGTATTATTAGATCTCAGTGCTGCGTTTGACACTGTTGACCACAACATATTACTCGACCGACTAGAAAACTGGGTGGGACTTTCGAAAACAGTTCTAAATTGGTTTGAATCCTACTTTAAGGACAGAAACAACTTTGTTTCTATCGGTAAATACACATCTGAGTTGACAAATATGACATGTGGGGTACCTCAAGGCTCCATCTTGGGGCCTCTTCTCTTTAACATCTACATGCTACCACTGGCTCAGATAATGAAAAACAACAAAATAAGTTACCATAGCTATGCGGATGACACACATTTACGGAACAATTTCACCAGGAGACTATTCTCCAATTCAAACACTGAGTAAGTGCATTGAACAAATCAATGACTGGATGTGTCAGAACTTTCTCCAATTAAACAAAGATAAAACTGAGGTAATGGTTTTTGGAGCCAAGTCAGAACGTATCAAAGTTAGCGCTGAGCTTCAGACTGCAATGTTCAAAACAACAGATAAAGCCAGAAATCTAGGTGTAGTCATGGACTCTGACCTGAGTTTCAACAGTCACATTAAAACAGTTACTAAATCAGCCTACTATCACCTAAAGAATATATCTAGGATTAAAAGACTAATGTCACAGCAGGATTTGGAAAAACTTGTCCATGCTTTTATCTTCAGTAGACTGGACTACTGTAATGGTGTCTTCACAGGTCTCACTAAAAAATATATTAGAAAGCTGCAGCTAATTCAGAACGCCGCTGCTCGAGTCCTCACTAACACTAAGAAAGTGGATCACATCACTCCTGTTCTGAAGTCTTTACACTAGCTTCCTGTGTGTCAAAGAATAGATTTCAAAATACTGCTGCTAGTTTATAAAGCACTGAATGGTTTAGGCCCAAATTACATTTCTGACCTACTGCTAAATTATGAACCATCCAGATCTCTCAGGTCTTCAGGGACTGGTCAGCTTTCTGTCCCCAGAGTCAGAACTAAACATGGTAAAGCAGCGTTCAGTTATTATGCTCCAAATATCTGGAACAAACTCCCTGAAACCTGCAGGTCCGCTGCTACTCTGACTACTTTTAAATCCAGACTAAAGACTTTTATTTTTGCCGCTGCATTTAATTGAACTATTCATCTTAAACTGCACTGTAACTTTTATCCATGTATTTTTTCTTTTAAATAGCCTGTGACAGGAGTTTCCCCCATCATCCAAACCCATCAATTTGAGTAAATATTGTCCCCTTGAAACCCGTTACTGAACTGATTTTGGATATTTGTACTTTGATAACCATTAATCTGCCCTTCAATGTTGACCATTTCCTGGATCTTCTCGGGGATTCTTCAAGTCCCACCAAATTACGTGTGACGTCATTGCGGGCACAGCGCTCCAGCTGCACCGTTCAGGATCCCAGCATCTGCATGTAAACGCACGATGGCGCACACAGCAGCAAGCTCAGACAACTCAGACAGTTTCATTTTGAACGTGTCTGAGAGCTCATATGAGGCTGAAGGATCGGTTTATGTTGTATCTGTTTGAAGTTTAGGAATTAGGTGCGTCAATATGGGCGATCATACGGTCATGTAGCCAGTGGTGGAATGGGACTAAAAATCATCCCGGGACTCTCGACCGGCCCACTTCGGTACCGCTAGTAAATTGTCAACGGGGGGATGTCAGGGGCGGCGGGTGCTGTAGATAGTAAATGTAAATATGTAAATATTTGTGTCACTGCATCCTGGTAAAATACAAATATAATGCAATGTCTGTGTCTTTGACATTAGCGCTGCCAGCCACCTGTGCCCTGTACTACGAAGCCAGTTCAACAGACCCTGGATATGTTTGAGTAACAAACAAACTAACAACAACAAACTAACAAACGAGATCTCGCTAAGCGGTCCTACGACGCTGGTTATCAACT